AAAAAGAAAAAGAAAAGAAAAAAAAGAAAGAAAATGCCATTACAAGATCATGTTAGTTCCTTGAAAGACTCCATGGCCTTAACTATTGTGCCCTGGGTTTTGATGACAGGCTAATTTTATTGGCTGTCAACACAGGATTGTCTTGAACTGAAAACAGGAGAAAACTGAAAGGAAAGCAAAATCCATTTTCGCAAGAGAGAGTCATCAACCTGAGTAGTAAACACTCAAGCTCCACTTGAAAGTCAGGCTTTCTCTCCTCAGTGGGAAAAACAAAGATTTGAAGCAGGAATGAAATGTAAAGAGCATACAGAAAAGAAAAAGAAGCTCAATCAGATGTCAACAGCATGAAGATCCAAGCTGACCTGGTGCTGTGTGTAGGGGCTCAAGCCAGGGCCCCTCAAAGAAAGCTGTGTATTATAAAGCAGGATATAGATTAAGAACTCCATGGAAGCTTTAACAACACTTTCCATGTTAGTGAGAAGGGGATTAAGAAATAGGACTGAAGAAAATGTGCAGACTGGAATGAAAACAGGGAAGGTTTTATGCATTGTTGGTAACATTGACAAGCCTGTTTCAGGGTTCGTATCCCTGACCAGCAGCCTTGCAGCAGAAGGCCTGTCAGTGACAGGGTCTTCCAGAGTGCACAATGTTACATTTTTATGGCTTCCTTTTTTTACAGCAGATATTGCCTAATTAGGAAAAGAGGTTTAACTGCAGATTTTATTTTACTGTAAAAGTCAAAGTACTTTCAGGAAATGAGTGTAGCCATTTCCCAAGGTTCTTAGCTAAATGAGAATTTCAAAAAAAAGCAAGTGGCAAAATCCTCTCCTTTCCTGTGAATGATTGGTGAAAAGAATAATAATGGAATAATCTTCTGCCTGAAAAACATAAACGCCTATCAATGTAGATTAAATCTCTAGTATTGGAAGCTGTAAAATTCTTCATTGAGTTTTATACAGGTATCAACCATCGTGGGAATGGCAGATTTGAACTTACACATCCATTCAGCCTTGATTATCTAATATGCACAGCATCGTGCATTTACAGATTTTACAGATTCAAGTTGGTTCTACTAATACTATCCATCTCTCCATTTCTCTTCTGGATCCATTAAGAAATATGACAAAACAGAAGACTATCCCAAGTTACTGATCCTTTAAGAAATCCCATCAAGGATCCTTGCTCAATCTGTAGACCACCTACCCTCTTGGAGATTACCAATTAGTAGTTCTATAGGAAAGTATAGACTGTAAGTTTTTCCTAAAGATACTAATAAAGCAACATTCATGAATACAATAGGAAGGATTGCCGAAAAGGGGGAAGAAGAAGATTGGATAGGATGAGTCACACACTGCGGTACAGCTATGAGAAAATTTCCTGCTCAATGGATTCTGGATTCCTTCCTGCTCATCTAAGGATTGGACTGTACAATCTTTCCCACCATGCTCGGTCATTTGCTGGGACCAAGCTGTGTGGTAAAGGCTCAAGGCAAACACAGTGTCACCCAGAGGGCCTCAGTGGGGTTAATAGTCAATTATGACCCCAGCAGCAAGAAATTGGGGTTGCATTTTCATGGCCACCACACATAGTGTGGTCATGATGATTGTTTTTCCTTTCTGACTTAAAGTTCAGTCACTATAGTAAATATTAGTACAAAGCTTTCTGAGTTTTTTCATCTGTAAACATCTTTGTTTCACCTTCCTGCTTTAAATAGATTCACTGTGTGACCATATCATATAGACAGATAGTACTTCACAGTCCTTTGTAAATATCATTGCATGGCTTTCTAGCTTTCATTTTGCAGTAAGAGGGCAGATTTAAGTCTAATTCTCTATTTTCAAGTCCATGTTTCCTTCTGGTTATTTTTAAGATAGTTGTCTTTTGATGTTCTGCAATTTGACTACAATGTGCCTAGGTATAATTTGGATATATTTGTACTGAGATATGCCGGCATTACTCAGTCTGGGCATTTGTGATTCCTCCCGACTCTGGAGATTTTTTTCTTCCACTTCTCTCTTGCTGGTACTCATATTAGACTTACAGTAAGACCTGTTTCTCCAATTGTTGGGAGGTATCCAGAGACAGATTTTGCTCAACTCAAGGAAGAGTTGATTAAAAATTAGATATTTCTAAAGCTGTCCTACATTGTGTAAGTAGTGAGGGTTGTTGTTTTTAGCATTGGATATGTCTGAGCAGAATCCAGGCAGATTTGAAGAATACCTACTTCCTGATATTGAAATATGATAGTGGTAAATTTATAAGATGATCCTTAAGTTCCTTCATATCTTGAAATTCTATTATTGAATAACACTGTTCAAATAATTTTATTTCAAAAGCCTTCAAGGGTTGTTAAATATAGTTCTTTAACATAAATCTTATAGTAGTATGTGCAAAAAAGGCCTATCTCATCATTGTTTCAATAATGCTGAAATTAATGTAAAATGTTCTAGATAGTTGACTTTGATGTTCATTTCACAAGGATTAATGTTGACATGAATAGTACAGTTACCTGTCAAAATTATTTTAGATTGCCTCAGTGTTCTTGTGAAGTTTTAATCAATTTAAAGGTGTGTGTTAAAGAAGCAAATCTTCCTACTTTGGATACAGTTCATATTTATTGTTTTGTAATTCTTTTTTTTTTAAGTCTTGACCATAGGGTCTTTGAAAAAAAGAAAAAAGACATCGAAAACCAAAAAAGAAAACCAGTTGGAATGATGGATAAGAACTATTAAGTAATTAGAAAGAGCAAATACTTCTGTTTGTCCAAATGCTTGCCTTGAGAAAGCATTTCCACCACCCCCATCCCAGATTTCTTACACTTGTTAGATTCATAATGTAATTCATATCAGCCTACTTTCCCCCCATACTACTGAGCTGCCTTTATTATCACTTCCTTATAAATCAAACTGAAAAAGTAAATGAATTTATATACATAGAGCATTTAAGATAGTGCCTGCAGATAGATGAGAAAGAATATGTCAGCACATGGGAGCTCACAAAAGAAGAGCTTATGACCCCTTTTGCCCTTTTCATGGTCATTTGGGTCATCTTTTCACTGCCTTGTACTGTGACTGATCGTTACAGCCCCTACCTTCTCTCCATCCAGTCCAAAGGACCTTCTTAGTTACAGCACAAAAACATAATTGGAAATGTAACCCAGCCACGAGAAGGCTGGAAGGCTGTTACAGTTTCCTGGACCAAAAATCAGTGTGTTGGGTGTCAGGGTTTTTGCAGAGGTTGTGACCTGAAACTTTTTAAAGAGCCATTCACTCTTTGGAGATGCATTTCTCAACTGTCCATAACAAACCATTTCTTCTAAAATATCATCATAAAACACTCATTTGTTGATTGGAGCTGTCGTCTAATGTGATGCACGTCTAGATCCAGATGAAACATTAAACTGTCTTCCTCCTGGGGCACCTGGATGGCTCAGTCAGTTAAGCATCCAACTTCAGCTCAGGTCATGATCTTGTGAGTTCATGCCCCACACGGGGCTTGCTGCTGTCAGCCTGTCAGGGCAAAGTGTGCTTTGAATCCTCTGTCCCCTCGCTCTACCCCTCCCCTGTCTTGCTCTCCCTAAAATAAATATATATTAAAAAATGTCTTCCTCCCTCCTCTAACAGGTCTTCTGAAGCCATTATGGCAGTATATACGTGGTCCACAGCACAGTACAAGCAGCATCTAGACTAAAGCAGTTTCTATTTATAATGTTTTCACATAGTCGAATAGATCAAATCTTTAACTGAAAAAAAATGAATTCAATAACTGTTCTTTTTCCACTTTAACGGACCTGCCATATTGTACAACTCCTGGGAGCATCTATGTAAATGGCACCCATGTATTTATGTATTACATAGCCTGTGTGGCTGTACAGGTGGCCATACATATTAATGTATCTGGCAAAAAGTTATCACATTTTCTTGCATAGTTGAGAAAAATGTTCTCATTGCAGCGGTCATAAAGCAGCTCAATAGCTATTATGACCACTCTGAACCACTTCCCAGTAGCATTAATCATTAAAGTGCATCCATTTGATCCAGTATTTATTGACATATGTATGTATAGTCATTAATAATTTTCAAAAAGTTAAAATCGCATGCAAATACAAAATAAACACACGTCAGCAATGTTATTCAACTAGAGGATTAAGGAGCAAACTAGTAATATGTAGACTGGTTCAAAGAGAATTTGGAGAACATCCATTCATATGTGTGTGCTGTAAAAGATAGGTGATATGATACTAAAGAGGTTCACATCTCTTAGGGCAACAAATTGAAATTTTTGTGGTTATCTTTTCTACATGGCAGAGATTGCTTGTATCTCTACTGAATGAAATCCATGTGTATTACTATGGACACATATTGTTTACATTACCAATAGTTCTGTGAAAATTAATTTTTAAGTCACAAAATTATAAAATAGCCTACAAAGAGAAAATCAATTAAATGTGCACCCTCAGATATAATGAGATCATCGCTGGTGGGATTCTTGGGAAATGCCCACTGAAATCCTTTACTCATTTCTAAGTCTCAATGCAGAGAACTACAGAATACATTAGGGATATGAAAAATGTGAATATGGTTGAAGACACATGAACTGTATTGTCCTGGAGAAGTTTTCTGTGAACATATAAATGAAGGCTGAGTCTGTTTAATTACTTATTCATATAGTTACATTTATCTTGGAGCTAAGAGTAGTATTTATTCTTGAGCAACAATTTTTTTTTCTGTCCTATAGTCTTTCTGGGTTAATACCTCACATGTACACACACGTGTGTGTTATATCTTTAACATATTACATGCGTAGTACTTTGTATATGTGTCTGATTACTTACATCTTTAATATGTTGCATGTAAAAAATTAAGATGTTTCCGATTCTGTGTCTCCCTCTCTCTCTGCCCCTCCCCCGTTCATGCTCTGTCTCTCTCTGTCCCAAAAATAAATAAACGTTGAAAAAAAAAATTTAAAAATTAAGATGTAACATCAATGGATATAAGCAAAAAGTCTTTTCAAGTCTTTACAAAAGCCCAATGTTATGTTTAATTTTTAAGCAATTCCAAATAAGCTTATTATCCATTAATTCCATCTGCTGTGACAGTTTATGTAATGATTTCAGTGAACATTATCTCATAATTTAAAATTTTTTCTTTCAGATATCTGAAGAGTAATTTATTTTCAGACTATTCTCATAGAGTTTAGACATCATCTGTTCTAGTATATTTCTTTTTTTTTAAGTGTTTTTCAATGTTTATTTATTTATTTTGAGAGAGAGACAGAGCATGAGTGGGGGAGGGGTAGAGAGAGAGAGGGAGACACAGAATCTGAAGCAGGGTCTGGGCTCCAAACTGTCAGCACAGAGCCTGATGTAGGGCTTGAACCCACAAACCCTGAGATCATGACCTAAGCCGAAGTCAGATGCTTATCTGACTGAGCATCCCAGATGCCCCAGTGCTAGTATATTTCTTGCCTAACAATTGAGCTTAATTTTTTTTTAAGTTGTCTTAAACTGTTGAGCTTTTTTGGGGGGTGCGATGCTCTATGTTCTTTCTTCCTTTCACATTTTCCAATTCCTTGATCGTATTCCAAGGCATTGATTGGCTCGTATTTATTAATGGTGGAGTCACTACAGCCTGAAATACTGTGGGTAATACTACAGTTCAGGCTTTTTGCCCCAGAAGTGTTGTTATGTTACCTTGTGTACTTAGTTCCCTAGGGAAACCTGTGTAGAGAAGGGCTGATTGGTAACTTTACTTTCACACCTAATGGTTGTGACTATTGATTCTTTCTGCAAAATACATATATTGGTTAATTTTGGGTATAGATGGCTGTACTTTTACATTAAAATTCTTTGTGATATAAAAAGAATAATGGTTTTCATTAAAAAGAATAAGAATGGAAAATAGGTTTTTTAAAAGCGTTTTTCCCACCCCTCACCACTCTGCCAAAATGTCATCAAAATACGTAAAGAACACAAGAAAAAAAAGAAAGCAAAGCAGAAGAAAGAGAAATTAAAGAAAAGGGAATTGTGAATCTTTAATGAGTTTCTTTTATGTATCAGGGGCTCAGGCACTCCTTGAGAGGCAGAATATTGCCCTAAGGAAGGGATTAGACTGAAATCTTATTTCCTGGATGCAATCTTCTGCTTCTTAGTGGGCTAGGAGGTAACTTGGGGCAAATTCTATCACCTATTTTGCTCCGCAGTTTCCTTATCTGGAAAAAAAAAAAAAAGAATGGTTGATGATAGGATCAGGTGACTTATTCTTTATAAAGCATATGGTAAGTAGGTGATTTTGTACTGTCACCTTCATTTTTCACAATCACCCTGTGAGAAGCACTTAACATTTAAACGAGAATAAGTAACCAACATGGAAGATCACTTCTCAATTATTAGCACTGCTTCTTAATGTAATACAAGGTGTAAGTATGTGTCTTTATTTTAGATTTATTACAAAGATTTGACCCAATGTGGAAGTCTTCAAGAGTTAGTAAATAGTAGTCTCTAAACATGGAGTTTATCTATTTTTCTCATCAAGAGTGTCCTAAAAATATAGCAAAGAGAAGTAATATAGTGAAATAACTTTCTCTATTTTCAAGAAAGACTGACAAGAAAAGACATTTCATTTGGAGAAAAGTTAAATCCCATTTACTAAGTCTCCTTTGTATTGTCACTATTTACCTTTCCCAAATTACTATTATTATTTCTAACATATCTCAGTTTTTTAGGCAAATAGTGCTACTTGTTTTTCCCATATATGTGCCATTTTTTCTCATCTCTGATATAGACACTATGGTATTTGAGTCAGCCCTAGAAAGCATTTATTCTCTCTGAATTATCTTTGCCATACTTCTAGGCCAGCCAAAATGCTAACACTTCTAAGAAGTCTACACCGAGTGCCCCAAGTAAACACAGTCTCTCCCTCCTGTAAACAGACTTCATCCCTGAAATCTAAATCTAGAAAATGAAGGGAAAAATAAGGGAATAAAATATAGCTTATTTGATATAATATTCGTATGTCCTATATAACCCCTGTCTCTCCTGCTAGGACTCTGATAGGAAACTTCACAGAGAATTCGTACAGCGGCCAGCCTAGTACCATATATGGATAATGTAAAAACAAACAAAAAAACACCTGTGAAAAGCAAAGAAATGAAAATGGAATAGTGTTTAAGTAACAGGCTTGGTGATTTTTAGATCCTGGCTATATGTCTGGCAACAGTAATGCATCATGTATTTCTTATTTATTATGTACGAATTACATATGAGAAACTGTGCTAGGCTCTGTGAGAGACCCAGTGAATAATTAGAATTGACAAATGTGAGAGCAATATAATTTCCTTAACAAAATGACTGGCCTAAGGGGAAATTAGAAATCAGGCATTCTAGTTATTTCACACTATTCTTATATCAGCAGCTTTGTAGTTGGCACTAAATTTCTTCAAGTTTTTTTAGTATATCAGAAATCTAGGAAATAAATCCTTCCTATTATTGCAACGAAATAAAGCACAAATAATTTAGAAACTGCCTCAGATTTTCTTATCATATATCAAAACAATAAATAAGGAAAGTTAGGTATCCTTATTCACAAATAGTGAATCATTTGTTAGGCTACTCATATTTCATTTTCATAAAGATTCACAAAGCAGGAGCATATTAAAGACCCTAAAAGCAGTAGCAGTAAATAATCCTACTGAACTAAATCGATATTTGCAAAAATACTTCAGTAAGGATTTTTTTTCATGGTATATTGGTCTTCTACTGAAGTGAATTTGAAAAAATGTTGATTTTTTCAAAATATTTAATTAGAATAAATTAAATTATTAAAATGCAGGGATTAATTTTAACCATTTCTTGTTTGTCTTTTAACTAACCAAAATTGATAATATATGACAAATTTCCACTTTCTTATTTTTTTTTAATATATGAAATTTATTGACAAATTGGTGTCCATACAACACCCAGTGCTCATCCCAAAAGGTATCCTCCTCAATACCCATCACCCACCCTCCCCTCGCTCCCACCCCCCATCAACCCTCAGTTTGTTCTCAGTTTTTAAGAGTCTCTTATGCTTTGGCTCTCTCCCACTCTAACCTCTTTTTTTTTTTTTTCCTTCCCCTCCCCCATGGGTTTCTGTTAAGTTTCTCAGGATCCACATAAGAGTGAAACCATATGGTATCTGTCTTTCTCTGTATTGCTTATTTTACTTAGCATCACAACTCCAGTTCCATCCATGTTGCTACAAAAGGCCATATTTCATTTTTTCTCATTGCCACGTAGTATTCCATTGTGTATATAAACCACAATTTCTTTATCCATTCATCAGTTGATGGACATTTAGGATCTTTCTATAATTTGGCTATTGTTGAGAGTGCTGCTATGAACATTGGGGTACAAGTGCCCCTATGCATCAGTACTTCTGTGTCCCTTGGATAAATTCCTAGCAGTGCTATTGCTGGGTCATAGGGTAGGTCTATTTTTAATTTTCTGAGGAACCTCCACACTGCTTTCCAGAGCGGCTGCACCAATTTGCATTCCCACCAACAGTGCAAGAGGGTTCCCGTTTCTCCACATCCTCTCCAGCATCTATAGTCTCCTGATTTGTTCATTTTGGCCACTCTGACTGGCGTGAGGTGATATCTGAGTGTGGTTTTGATTTGTATTTCCCTGATAAGGAGCGACGCTGAACATCTTTTCATGTGCCTGTTGGCCATCCGGATGTCTTCTTTAGAGAAGTGTCTATTCATGTTTTCTGCCCATTTCTTCACTGGGTTATTTGCTTTTCGGGTGTGGAGTTTGGTGAGCTCTTTATAGATTTTGGATACTAGCCCTTTGTCCGATATGTCATTTGCAAATATCTTTTCCCATTGATGTTCTTTCCTGCTTTGTCAAAGATGAGTTGGCCATACGTTTGTGGGTCTAGTTCTGGGGTTTCTATTCTATTCCATTGGTCTATGTGTCTGTTTTTGTGCCAATACCATGCTGTCTTGATGATGACAGCTTTGTAGTAGAGGCTAAAGTCTGGGATTGTGATGCCTCCTGCTTTGGTCTTCTTCTTCAAAATGACTTTGGCTATTCGGGGCCTTTTGTGGTTCCATATGAATTTTAGGATTGCTTGTTCTAGTTTCGAGAAGAATGCTTGTGCAATTTTGATTGGGATTGCACTGAATGTGTAGATAGCTTTGGGTAGTATTGACATTTTGACAATATTTATTCATCCAGTCCATGAGCAGGGAATGTCTTTCCATTTCTTTAAATCTTCTTCAATTACCTTCATAAGCTTTCTATAGTTTTCAGCATACAGATCTTTTACATCTTTGGTTAGATTTATTCCTAGGTATTTTATGCTTCTTGGTGCAATTGTGAGTGGGATCAGTTTCTTTATTTGTCTTTCTGTTACTTCATTGTTAGTGTATAAGAATGCAACTGATTTCTGTACATTGATTTTGTATCCTGAGACTTTGCTGAATTCATGTATCACTTCTAGCAGACTTTTGGTGGAGTCTATCGGATTTTCCATGTATAATATCATGTCATCTGCAAAAAGCGAAAGCTTGACTTCATCTTTGCCAATTTTGATGCCTTTGATTTCCTTTTGTTGTCTGATTGCTGATGCTAGAACTTCCAGCACTATGTTAAACAACAGCGGTGAGAGTGGACATCCCTGTCGTGTTCCTGATCTCAGGGAAAAAGCTCTCAGTTTTTCCCCGTTGAGGATGATGTTAGCTGTGGGCTTTTCATAAATGGCTTTTATGATCTTTAAGTATGTTCCTTCTATCCCGACTTTCTCAAGGGTTTTTATTAAGAAAGGGTGCTGGATTTTGTCAAAGGCCTTTTCTGCATCGATTGACAGGATCATATGGTTCTTCTCTTTTTTTTTGTTAATGTGATGTATCACGTTGATTGATTTGCGAATGTTGAACCAGCCCTGCATCCCAGGAATGAATCCCACTTGATCATGGTGAATAATTCTTTTTATATGCCGTTGAATTCGATTTGCTAGTATCTTATTGAGAATTTTGGCATCCATATTCATCAGGGATATTGGTCTGTAGTTCCCTTTTTTACTGGCTCTCTGTCTGGTTTAGGAATCAAAGTAATACTGGCTTCATAGAATGAGTCTGGAAGTTTTCCTTCCCTTTCTATTTCTTGGAATAGCTTGAGAAGGATAGGTATTATCTCTGCTTTAAACGTCTGGTAGAACTCCCCTGGGAAGCCATCTGGTCCTGGACTCTTGTTTGTTGGGAGATTTTTGATAACTGATTCAATTTCTTCGCTGGTTATGGGTCCATTCAAGCTTTCTATTTCCTCCTGATTGAGTTTTGGAAGAGTATGGGTGTTTAGGAATTTGTCCATTTCTTCTAGGTTGTCCAATTTGTTGGCATATAATTTTTCATAGTATTC